ATATACATATGCATACATATATACATACATACATACATACATACATACATACATACATACTCACATACATACATACATACGTACATACCTACATACCTACATACATACATACATACATACGTACATACCTACATACCGACATACATACATACCTACATACATACATACATACATACATCTACACGTACAGATTCTTTTGTGCATATATGAGTAAGTGAGTGCATACATGCCGGTTTTGACTTGTCTCCCATCTATCCGAGTCTGTCCCACAGCTTCTCCCATCTCACACCTTGTAGTTCTTTGTCTAGCTCCTTCTGTGCCTTGCTTGCTTGCTCTTCGTGACTCGACACCCCCGCCACAGCCTGGGTCCGATCGTCGACTCCTTGTGGGAGGTGCCGGTGGCGGCTCCTCCGGTGCACAGATCCCTGCACCAACGGAGAAGATCGTGTGCTAATGCCAAGGCCTGCATAGGGCGGCATGTACATTATTCGGCATGCCCTGCTTTCGCAGACGCCCGTGTGGGTCCATGTCTTTTTGTGGATGCAGACTGTACGGCTTCGGAAGGAGACGTCATCTTGCGCGGTTTAATTTAAGCCGGTTGCATGCTATGACTTGTGCATGGTGTGTCTGCTTGCCCCAGGTGCCTCCAACAATCCTGGCAACACCCTTAAGCTCGTAAGCCCCAAGCTGTCACGGCCGTCTTAGTCCGGTCCTCGTCTAGGAAAGCATAAAGATCTCCAGTGACGGAATTCTCCGCCCTTGGTGACATGACGACACGTCCGGGGATCAAGGGCATGGGAACCTCACCTCCCCAGTTTGGCAGAGGACAAAATACCCAAGTGAGCTTGTGTGGTCTAAAGCACAGAGAGATGCATCAGAGTTCATAGTGGAGGTCAGGATAAGTTAAACGATTAAGCATACAAGCGCGATGTGAACACAATATGCAGTTAGACGACAGCATAGTCACAACATTGGCGTATGAGAACCAAGCGGGCATCGCAATGGCGGAGCCCTTCTCAAGAAACTACAAAACCGGCGCGGGACACGACAGCAACCACTCCAAACCAGAACACGGCCAGGACAGAAAAAATCGCCAAAAATCGTGAACGCGCGCACAAGATCATCGATGATCTTATCACGGGTCAACCTGTCACACCTGCGTGCATCTTCCATTGTCGGCGTCGCCGTGACTGTTGCTTCTGCTCTGGTCGTAGTATGAGTGTTCGGTAGTGCAATACCAGTGGTCATCATCGTCGTAGTAGACGTGGCAGGAAAGTAGTAGTAGTAGTAGTAGTAGTACTAGTAGTAGTAGTAGTAGTAGTAGGTGGTAGTAGTAGTAGTAGTAGTAGTTTTTGTCACCCACTTGGCACGACTGCGTCAGCACTGCGGGGCCACAAAGGTCACGAGGTAGACTAGGAGGCGACTGTGGACAGGAAGAAAGACAAAAGGATAGGCCTTACTAAAGAACCCCAACAAACGTGTATCGCCTCCAGTGGAAAAGCGGACAGCTCAACTTTCAGCTGCACGAGCTGTATCCAAACGGCAAGGGTCACTGCTAGGTTACCGGGGGCTCAGCGCTTGTATGCAACCATAGGCCAGAACACTACAAATAAATAAATACCTTAGGAAGGAGTGAGCACAGGCTGTGCGCCCCGATCTGCTGTTGCCGCTGTCACCGACTCCCATTGTCACGAGCCTGAGACAGCCATCTACAGCTATACAGAAGCCCATTTAGCCAGCCTTCAGCTAGGTACAACAACCAGGGTACGCAACCCTTTCCAGGCTCACCACAGCTGAACCACGAACCCTTCAGCCAGGCACATGGGTCTTCTTTCACAAAACTCTGGAGACATGTCTACTGTACAGACATTCTAATGACTCACAGAGAGGGTCTACAAAGTATGGTGTAAAGAGAAGGCGTTACAGTCACAGTTCAGGACGAGGACATGCAAGCAAATTCGCAGTTCATCGGCTTTACAGGGCCTATCAGGGACAGTCCGACATTTAATTAGGTGCATTCAGGACAGTGCTCAGCACAGCTCATTGCAGCGGGTGTTGGCGTATCAACCAACTGCCAGTCTCTCTGTCATCCAGCGGATCGCAACAGAAGTAGCAGTTTTCCTCTCCAGCGAAGAGCCAGGAGGGAGGACTTGCCTGTACCACTCTCTCTGTATGTTGCCGGTGTGGAGTAGACGCTGCAGTGATTGGTCCCACAACTGCAACTGCGTCAGTTCAACACAGACAAACAGGCCATGCCTTCTGAGTCCAGCGGTTTATCCATGGAGACCACTAATCTGCGCGGGTCTCATCAGTGTCTCCCAGCAGGGGAGGTGGATACCGAAGTGGTGCCAGGCAATGCACTCTTGACCCATGTCATGTCGCACCTGCCAGTCTTGAAGTTTATCCTCTATGTATTCCATATCCACCTGCCAGAATTGCCTCTGATCGGGAGGTTGCGATCTGTCCTGCAACGTTGCCCGTTCGAGACTTTCTGAGTAGTATCCCATCTCAAACGATAGCGTGAAGTGCCACTGCCAGGCACGTCTCATCTGTCTCATGTAGTTGTAAAACAAGACTGCCACGAAGTGGGCCGTGGGCCTGGGCAGCAGCGACAGAGTATGTCGCACTTCCCGGGCCATCAAAGGCTCAAAGCGTCGTAGGTGCGGCGTCAGCGGTACTGCAAAGATATCCATATCCATTGCTCCTTTCCAGAAATCTGTGAGCGCTCTTGCTCACTCCAACCAGCAAGGACTCGTTAGCAGGAAATACGGATATAGCCAGACCCTATCGTTCCACCAGCTTGGGCAGTCAGGTCAGAGAGGCCATGGCTGTACAGCGACGGTGCAACTACTGGCTCTTCGCGTGTATAGTGTGGTGTCACCAGGTGCGCGCTTGCCAGAGGTGTGGTATGCAGGCCCCTTCATGATCCTACTACACATACCAACTAGCAAAGACCGGACAGACGGACAGTGCGTGTGGTGTAGAGGTACCTGCATCTTCCTGTGGGTTCGTTTATTCCGCCTTTCTGGGCGAAACTGCCTTTGGACTTCTGCAGGCATTTCTTGAAAAGCAAAGGCGTTTCTTGACTTTTCCCTGTTCGGGGCTGTTCAAGGACCCATATAAAGCTAGGGGGAAGTGTCCGTAAGATGCATTGGCCATGCTCTGTTGCTGATAACCCATATACAACTAGCTCTAAGATGATTTCCACAAGATGCAATCACCATCCTCAGATCCTTCATGTTGCACATTCTCAAAACCATATATACCTCGATCCCTCCTTACCAGCGCTCGACTGTTTCTTTCATGCTCGCTGGCGACGTCGAGATCAGCGTGACCTGCCGAGGCCAGACGGGGGTGCATGACCAGTGACTGCAGCTGTTGAGCAAAGCCTGCTTCCTAATGTATGTGCAAGCAGCAGATCTTAACTGCATTCTGAAGATTTTTGCTGCTCGAAGTTCTGTGCTGAGACAGTTTTCAAGTCGGTTCAATCAGCATTCGGTTTCAATTGCTTACCAAGCTTGCTGTGCAGTCTGATCTTGAAATTCCTACCTTCGC